AATTGCTTTACCACACGATTCCCCCTCTCCGCAGGATCAGCCTGTGGATGATAAAAAGGAGTAAACCGAACCTTTACACGGTAGCTTTCACACAGATCTAAGAAAAGTTTACTGCGCATCTGCACGCCATTGTCACAAATAAGGAATTGTGGAGCTCCATACACAAGAGATACAGAATCTTCAATACATTTGACAAGAGTTTTGGCATTCGCCGTCCTAATGGGAAAAAGAAGTACAAATTTACTCATATAGTCACTAACAACTAATAAATGAGTTCGCCCTTGAGTGGATCGAGGTAAAGGATCAATAAAATCTAAGCTGATCATCTGCCACGGTTCATAAATTTGAGGATGTGAACCCATAAGCCCTGCAGGTCGAAGTTGTTCAGGTTTATGTTGTGCACAGGTGGTACAGCGAGAAATATAACGCTTAATATCGCACTTCATTCTCGGCCAATAATATCGGTGATGAATGCGCCAAAAGGTCTTATAAACACCAAGGTGTCCTGAAGTAACATTATTGTGGTTCTCTTGTATAAGAGATTGTCTAAAATCAGAAGGAACAACAAGTTTCCATTTTTCATAATCATGAGATTGTAAAGCGGACTTGATATATTTATACAACAACGAATCTTTCACTCGCCAATCGGGATATTTATGAGGACTTCGCTCTAATCTTTCAAACATACCAAGGTACCAAGGGTCTTTAGAAGTTTTGAAATCGTTCGGATCCACCGTAACATCTGAAGAATGTACAGCTTCGATCACAGGTACAGTACGTGACAAAAGATCGGGAACAATATTGTCCTTGCCTTTACGATGGACAAGAGTAAAGGTATACGGCTGTAAACGAAGAGCCCAGCGTGCTAAACGTCCTTGGGGGTCTTTCAAAGAATGCAACCACAAAAGAGAATGGTGGTCAGTAATGACTGTAAAAGTAACTCCCTCGAGGTAATGTCGAAGTTGCTCTACCGCCCAAATGACTGCTAAGCACTCACGTTCAGTCGTGCTGTAATTTTGTTCCGCTCGGGATAATGATCGGGATAAATAACATACCACTCGCTCCCCATCCGGAAAAGTTTGAGTCAAGACAGCTCCTAGCCCATAAGCAGAAGCATCGGTCTGAAGGACAAAAGGTTTGGTAAAATCCGGGCAATTGAGCACAGGTGCAGTTGCCAAAAGTTCTTTTAATTTGAGAAAAGATTCCTCACATTCAGACGTCCATTCAAATTTAACATTTTTCCGAAGAAGTCTGGTTAAAGGAGCAAGAACGGTTGAAAAATCAGGAATGAACCTACGGTACCAACCGCAAGTTCCTAAGAAACGTCGTATATCATTCACCGTAGTGGGTGTTGGAATATCTAAAATCGCCTTGACTTTGTCAGGATCTGGGTGTAAGCCAAAGGAATCCACAACATACCCTAAATACTTAAGTTCTGAACGGCAGAAGTGACATTTGTTTTTATTCAGAGTGAAGCCAGCAGCAATTAATTTGTCAAAAACAGTGTTCAAAATTTTTAAATGTGAGTCAAAGTCTTGTGATATAATAACCACATCGTCCAAATAAACCAAAACGTTGGGTTGCAATTCAGGTCCCAAAATGGTATCGATAATGCGCTGAAAAGTCGCAGGGGCATTAGTCAAGCCGAAGGGCATCCTTCGAAATTGGAAAAGACCACGACCAGGCACAGTAAAAGCTGTGAAAGGGCGCGAATTCTCAGCAACCTCTATTTGCCAATAAGCTGACTTAATGTCCAGGGAACTAAGATATTTAGCGTCACGTAATTGGTCTAAGATGGTATTGATATAGGGCAAAGGAAAAGCGTCGCGCTCAGTTAAAGAGTTAAGTTTCCTATAGTCCACACAAAATCTATAGGTTTTGTCTTTCTTGGGAATCAGACAGACAGGTGAAGCCCATCCGCTGTTCGATGGTTCGATGACTCTGTCCCTAAGCATCTCATCAATGGTGTCGTTAATGATTTTCTGTTTAATCGGATTTACTGGATAGTACCGCTGTTTAATAGGAATAGCGCCCTCTACCAGGCGTATCTCGTGTCTACCTACTGGGGTTAATCCTAGCTTGTCTCCCATGAGCGAAAATTTCAGATCTAAGAGGGTTTGTAAAGAATGGTGTTGTTCATCAGTGAGACGAGACTGTTCCACTATGGCCACACTAGGTTGAGTTGGCGTGCAAGAAGTAAAATGCCAACAGTCATCGCTAATATTCGGAATGATACCCATCCTATCCCAAAAATCTCCTCCCAGGATTAAATTAGTAACCAAATCAGGCATCACCAACAAATCTAACAGCACAGTACGATCCTTTAAGGTAATTGGCACAGTGATGTAACCAATCGAATGTGCATCGGAGCTATTTGCTACCGTACAAGAAATAACTTTCGGTACAAAATTGAAATTGAGTATTTGCAATTGAATTAAAGTATCGGGATTGATAAAAGAACGTGAAGCGCCAGAATCTAATAATCCCAAAAAAGGAATGTCTAAAATTTTAATTTGGACATAAGGTCTCAAGTCATTTCCCACATGCTGTAATAAAAAGTCAAGTTTAGGTTTGGAAGAAATTTTCAAAATTTTTGTCGCCTGTTCTAAAGAAACGTCACGACGACTTAATGAGCGTTTCTCGGAGCGTTTCCCGAACAAAAAGAACAACTGCGCACCGTAACGCCTTGTGCGCCACATTTCCAGCAGAATAATTGCCTTGGTTCAGGACAATCAACACGATGATGACCTAATTTTTGGCAATTAAAGCAAGGAGAATTTGGAGTTTCCATTGCATAAATAGGTGGACGTGGTGACATTTGTCGACTACTGGTGGGACAGCTAAACCCAGGTTCGAGTAATGGTAATGATGTTCAGTTGCGTAAGGCATGGTGTCTGTCTAAATCATGTTTGATATCGTCAAAACGTCTGCATTCAATTAAAAGTTCATCTAATGTCTGAGGAACATTAGGACCTAATTTAGTCAAATAAAATGGTGAGAAATTGCGTTTAATTAAACGGACTTGTTCATATTCTGGAGGTGGTAATTTTAGTCGTGAAAATAAACCCTGCATTACTGCAAAATAAATGTCTACTTTTTCATTCTGACCCTGTAAACGAGCTTTAATTTCGTCGAGCAAATCTTCCTCATAGTGTGGTGGTAGAAATGCATCTCGTAGTAATTGCACTAAGTGCTCCCATGAAGTAGCTTTATGAGAATTAATGTTGTACCAGGTGTTCGCAGTACCTTCAAATAAATCGTAGGCAGTCTCAAATAAAGTTGGATGATCTACTCCGCGAGCACGAGCCATTCGCTCAACTCGGTCGATAAATGAATTCAAAGTTTCACCTCTACTATCCCCGGAAAATTTTAATCCCCATTTATGTACAGGAGTACTCGGTACGGATAATCTTGGTTGTAGTTCTGCAGTACGTCTAGTAGGTGTAGAAGAAACTACAGCAGTTGCTGAAGGCATAATTGAATCGTTAAAATGAAAAGCTTTGTTATCGAGTGAAGCTCTTAGTTGTCGAAATAAACCAACTAATTCCCCAAGTTTACTTAATTGTTCAGCAGAAGGCTGCAATAATGTGAGTCCTATGTAAACGTCTGTCGGCATGAGCTAGCATGGTCACAATTGACAAATATGAACCTCCCCCAAAAGCATCATCAAAATTGTCAATCTTATTCTGAAGGATCACTGTCAATTCAGTAAGAGCAGCTAAATCCTGAGCAAAGGAAAAAGGGTACTCTGGAGCAACATAACCAGGTGCTTTCTCTAACTCTAACAATTTTCTGAGAATTAAACGACTTTCGTTCATATTACTCCCCATTTGTCCCGCTCTAATCTCAATTTCATATTGGAGTTCAGTCTCTCTAAATCGGTTAATTTCCATAGCCATGATCACACAATAAATTCAAAATACAAATATAAAAAGATAACACAATATAGGTACCTGTTAAATACCAAGAAATACACAAATATCAGTAATAACCACAAATAAAAAAAATAAGTTGCAAGTACGAAGTTCAATTTAGAAGAGATAATTTAAAAATAAGGCCAAAAACTTAAATTTAAACAAATTATGCCCAGGCCACACGTT